CTGGGGCAGGAGGAGAGGCTGGGGCAGGAGGAGAGGCTGGGGCAGGAGGATCAGTGTGAGTTTGAGACCACCCTGGGTTACAAAGTGAGCTCAAGACCAGCCTTAACTGCATAGTGAGACCCTGTTTCAAAAAGACCAAAAAAAAAAGGCCATGGGCCCCTGTCTCCTTTAAATGGGGGAGGAGGGCGGAGTCAGTAACCCTTCAGGCAACAGAGGGTGATTAGTAACCCTTCCATGGGGGGTGTGCCTGATGCGCCCAGGGTAGAGGGAGCGTTAGCAAGGCTCCATTTCCTCCACAGCTGATGCGTTGTCCTTTTCTACGTCTTGTGTGTTAGGCCTGACATCGCAGCACAACATTTTACCATGTTTTTCTTTCTAATTTACTGTTATGTGCTTCCTTCATTTTACTACTGCTGTTTTATGGGTTTCAAACAATTTGTTCACATAAATCAGGAATTTGATTCTTTTTTTTTTATTAAACAAGTTACTATTTTCTCATCTTGGTTTATTTTTTCTTAGATTTGCTCTACTATTATGAATTTAAGTGTTAGTACATAGTGTTTTTTTGAGTGAAAGATTTGGAGCGGTGTTTCCTGAATGTTCCACAGAATACAGGTGCTGTGTGGGTTGGAGGCTCCGCACACTGTGGTCCTCCAGATGTGGGAGAAGTCCTGTGAGCATGTGGATTCTTTGGCTTGACCTTCCCATCCTAGAGACTCTGGGGAAGGGCTGAGGTGAGAGTCACAGTGGGCTTAGACCCGTTCCTGGAAGATCTCCTGGGCAGACTGTGGATCTTTTAAAGTCTAGCTAATTCTGATGAAGAACCACTCCTTTAGAGCCAGGCTTTGCAGACTGTGGCCTGAGAGGCAAGCCCAGCCCCTATTTGTTTTTGTGTAGCTCATAAGCAGAGAATATGCTTAACGTATTTAGGTAGTTTAAACAAATTTTGAAAAGTCATCAGTGTAACATTGTCTGAAAATCGTGAGACATTCAGGTGTGTTCTTAGATAACTTTTTAGTAGGGTGTGGCCACACCCATGCATTTACATACTGGCTGTGGCTGCTGTCACTTTGAGCGATTGCAGAGACCGAAAAGCCTCAGAAGACCTGAAGTATTTATCTGGGTTTAACAGGAAACACGGGCCAAGCTGGTCCAGAGCAGTGATCTCAGAGACGGGTGCCCTGACCCCCAGTGTGGTCATCTTGTGTGAGTTTGGAGAAACACAGGTTCCCAGGGCCCGTCCGCCCAGGCCTGGTGCTCTGTCATCCTGACGGGGTAAGGATGGAAGACAGCGCAGCCCTCTAGAGTCCTCTAGCCTGGTAAAATCGGTCACGTAGCCCTTTCGTGAGCACATCAGAGGCTCAGTGTTGTCACAAGGCTTAGCGTGTGGTACGGGTCTGGTACACATTTGCTAGATGAGCAAAGCAGACTTCTTTCATATAGTTTATTTGATACAGGGCCTCGCTATGCAGCTCAGACTCATAGTGATCCTCCTGTCTCAGCTTCCTTAGCACTGGGATTATAGGTGTGCCCCACTACGCCTGGTTTCGGGCCAGCACGGTGTACCCTAGGTCCCTGGTCCAGCATGGCATGAGGTACCAGGACTTCGTGCTTGCCAGGGGCTTTTGCTGCTGAGCTACCTCCCCAGCCCATCATAGTTTACATTGAAAGGAATGAAAATTGTGCACGTCAGCTCTGAAGCTTTCTGTTTGCTCACTCCCCGCAGTGCTGCTTTACTCTGACTGCTGGTGGCACGGGGATGTGAAAGCTGCAGGAAGGCCAGCTTGGAGCACCCTGTGGGGGAGGGGCAGAAAGGGGCGTGTCTGTGCCTCACCGCTGTACTCTGGCTTCCCTAATGCCCTGGTATCTAGGACCGGTGAGAGCTGAGGACACAGACAGCAGCACGCACTAAGGGTTTTAATTATGAAAGGAATCACACTTCTCCTTTGTTTCAGACTAACAGGTAAATAAATTGTGATTTAAAATTTAAAAAAAAAATTTTTTTTTTTTTTATTTTGAGAGTAGGTCTTGTTAATTTGCTAATTGCCCAGGCTGGCCTTAAATCATGATCCTATTCCCTCCCTCAGCCTCTCAGAATGTCAGGATTGCAGATGTGTGTCAGCATGCCTGCTTGAGATCTTGAGATAAAACGCATACTTGTTCATTGGACTAGTTGCTGTG